AACTGATAGCCGAATGATCCCCTGAATCCCAAATATGTAATCGGATCCAATCTCACATCCACGATGTGGCCATATGCTGGGTAGCCCAATATCCGACGCCAACCAAAATCTGAAACAGCTCCACCAGATCTAACAATATCTAACACAGCAGTCGGCAACCTCATAAGATGGCCCAAACTTGTCAGAGCCCGAATACCAAATCCACTGCTCAACAACCAACACCAATCCTCCTCCAGAAAAGAACGGCCCGCAGAATCTGCCATCTCATCTCGTTGCCCCACTGTTTCCTCTCCTATGAAGTATCTCCAACTGCCATGAGCTCGGCACCAATGCAAGAAAGGACCCCTACTAGAACTAGTACGACGGGTAACCTTTCTGCCCATACACCTTCTCTAACTGTTACAGACTACTAGGACTAGCTGCACACGGATCTACCAACTCGTCATCCGCATCCTGAACAATCTGATCCCCAAACTGTGTCACCTCAGCCAGAATCCTAACTAATGCAAAATAACCTGGAGTATGTGGAGTAAGCTCCACCCGATGTGGAGTAGCATCATCCTCCACCCGCTGTGATATCCCTCTGATCTGATCAATACTCTCTACCCGCCGAGAGTCCAAAGTGACAAACCTGCTCAGACCAAACTCAGAAGCTCTCAACTGATAGCCGAATGATCCCCTGAATCCCAAATATGTAATCGGATCCAATCTCACATCCACGATGTGGCCATATGCTGGGTAGCCCAATATCCGACGCCAACCAAAATCTGAAACAGCTCCACCAGATCTAACAATATCTAACACAGCAGTCGGCAACCTCATAAGATGGCCCAAACTTGTCAGAGCCCGAATACCAAATCCACTGCTCAACAACCAACACCAATCCTCCTCCAGAAAAGAACGGCCCGCAGAATCTGCCATCTCATCTCGTTGCCCCACTGTTTCCTCTCCTATGAAGTATCTCCAACTGCCATGAGCTCGGCACCAATGCAAGAAAGAACCCCTACTAGAATTAGTACGACGGGTAACTTCTCTACCCATACACCTCCTCCAACTGTTGCGGACTACTAGGGCTTCATACCAACGGGACTTGGTTGCAACCCATAAATGCCTAGTACAATCCTCAACATAGGAAACAAAATAACGATTACCTCCCAATGATGCCTCTATGGAAGGCCCTCAATGCCTGACTGAATACCTCCTAAAAGACCACTCGATCGATGGATAGAAGTGCCAAACTCCACCTCGGTCTTCTCACTCATCCAACTGTGCTCAAAAGACTTCAATCTATAGGTCATAGCACTCCTCAACAATCTATACACGACATAACCAATAATATACCCCAGCACCAAACAATGCCACAGTCTAGCCAAAGAAGTCGTCAGCGCTCTATCAATCACCGTGCTCCCAAGCAGATAATACAAGTTACTCCTCCTGACGCCCTTCATCACAATCATGGACCCCAATGTAACCTTCAAGCGAGAATCCGCCAAGGTCACCCTATAGCCTGCTGCCTCCAATACTCCAAGTGAAATGATGTTCTTCCTCAGTTGAGGAACGAACCTCACATCAACCAACTCCCGAATCATCTCGTCACTCATTCGAATCCGAACGGTACCAATACCACCAACAGGGCACCTGTGATCATTACCCATAAGTACAACATCCCCTCTTTCCAACTCCTAAAAGCTGGAGAACCAATCCCTTCTAGGGCATATGTGGTAAGTAGCACCGGAATCCAACATCCACTCAGTGGAGTCGATAACACCAACTGACGGAAGAGCTGGGCATGAATAGTCCGAAGAATCTGAATCTGAAACGTCGCCACTAGCCTTGGCAACATTCAACTCTGAAGCTTGAATAGCTTTCCCCTTATTCTTCCCGGCTTGCAATTCTGGGCATTCGGTTTTCCAATGTCCATCCTCTCTACAAAAGACACACTGATTCCTACCAACTGCAGGATGACCCCCTCTAGACTGTGACCTCCTACCACGGTTTGGACTTCTAGTTCTTACAACCAATGCCCCCGCAACCGGCTCAATGGAAGTCTCTTTGTCCTTCTTACGAAGTTAATAATTCACAAGAGCCGCGGTGACCTCACTATATGTAAGAGATGTCTTCCCATTAATAAGAGTGAGGACGAATGTCTCATATTCCTCGTCAGGCAAGGAACTCAATAACAACAATGCATTATCCTCGTCTTCAACCATAACATTTACATTCGCCAAATCTGCAAGTAGCTTCGTATAGTGGTTCATGTGATCACTAATGGATGTCCCCTTCTTCAATTGGAAGCGATAAAGCCTCCTCTTCAAATGCAAGTGATTTTTGACGTTCTTCGTCAAATACTTGCCCTCTAGGACTTCCCAAATCTTCTTTGCCGAAGTCTCATTCATCACATCATATTTTAGATCTTGAGTAAGACAAGACCTAATCACACCACACGCTGTCCTATTCATTTTCTTCCAAACCTTCTCATCAATGTCGTTCGGTTTCCCGTCTAACTCCAACGTATCTTCCAAATTTTGCGCATTTAGCGTATCCAAGACTTCACATCTCCAAAGTCCAAAATTATTTGTGCCATCGAACTTTTTCACATCTATCTTCATACAATGGATATTCAAACTTTATACGGTCTTCACACTAGAAGAACCCTCCTCACTTTTATCTTTCTCGGTCATTATCTCAAAGCACCCAAACAATTGCGGAACAAACAAGAAATAGATCCAACTTGAAAAAGATAGAAACTTTACCATAAAGATTCCATCTTTATCACCAATCGAAACTCTAGATGAACTTCCTAACTGATCTACACCTCCAAAAAGCCCAAGAGTTGCCCAGAGCTCTGATACCACTTGTTGGGGAAAAACCTTGTGCCGAGATCCTAGAATCGTGACTTTGGGTATTTATAGAAAATCCAAAAGAAACGGGTCTACAAACAGAACCAACCCAAAACTACTGCGGCGGTCGACCGTGACGGTCGACCATGATGCCATCGTGATCGACTGCCACGGTCGACCGCACCAAATCCAGAACAGGCCCCAAAGTCTAGAGAAAACCGTGGTCCACCGCCGTGGTCGACCGCCAAAGATACAGACGCATAGAGAGGTCTGTGACTGAATGTACTAGGGATAGTACTTTTTCAGGAACTTCTCATTTGTGAGCAATGTTACTGTTCTTGATACAGAATTAGGTCTTGGTTCCTACCTTTGTATTCAGTCATGATAACCTCATATCCACTCCCAGCTTTTAGGTGAACCTGAGTCTAATCATATTTGGTTGCATTATTGGAGCATGCAATTTAAGGGAGCAGTTTTTTAACCTCGCTTTCCAATGTCCATCCTCTCTACAAAAGGCGCACTGATTCCTACCAACTGCAGGATGTCCCCCTCTAGACTGCGACATCCTACCACGGTTTGGACTTCTAGTTCTTACAACCAATGCCCCCGCAACCGGCTCAATGGAAGTCTCTTTGTCCTTCTTACGAAGTTAATAATTCACAAGAGCCGCGGTGACCTCACTATATGTAAGAGATGTCTTCCCATTAATAAGAGTGAGGACGAATGTCTCATATTCCTCGTCAGGCAAGGAACTCAATAACAACAATGCATTATCCTCGTCTTCAACCATAACATTTACATTCGCCAAATCTGCAAGTAGCTTCGTATAGTGGTTCATGTGATCACTAATGGATGTCCCCTTCTTCAATTGGAAGCGATAAAGCCTCCTCTTCAAATGCAAGTGATTTTTGACGTTCTTCGTCAAATACTTGCCCTCTAGGACTTCCCAAATCTTCTTTGCCGAAGTCTCATTCATCACATCATATTTTAGATCTTGAGTAAGACAAGACCTAATCACACCACATGTCGTTCTATTCATTTTCTTCCAAACCTTCTCATCAATGTCGTTCGGTTTCCCGTCTAACTCCAACGTATCTTCCAAATTTTGCGCATTTAGCGTATCCAAGACTTCACATCTCCAAAGTCCAAAATTATTTGTGCCATCGAACTTTTTCACATCTATCTTCATACAATGGATATTCAAACTTTATACGGTCTTCACACTAGAAGAACCCTCCTCACTTTTATCTTTCTCGGTCATTATCTCAAAGCACCCAAACAATTGCGGAACAAACAAGAAATAGACCCAACTTGAAAAAGATAGAAACTTTACCACAAAGATCCCACCTTTATCACCAATCGAAGCTCTAGATGAACTTCCCAACTGATCTACACCTCTAAAAAGCCCAAGCGTTGCCCGGAGCTCTGATACCACTTGTTGGAGAGAAACCCCTATGCCGAGATCTAACCAAATAGCCGAGAGAAGATAAACAACACACCAAAGATAGCACAAACACAAGATACACCAGATTTTACATGGTTCGACGAGATGCCTACGTCCACGGGGCAAGGAAGGGGGTGTTTTCACTATTAGAAATCAAGAGGAACAAACTAGGGTTACAAATCTCACAAAAACCCCTCAACAATCACACTTGATCTCTCCCAAATGCTCCAACAATAGAAGCTCAAGAAATCCTCCACAATGGCTGCTAAAACCCACTTGCCTAACCCTAGAACCGTGACTTTGGGTATTTATAAAAAACCCAAACGAAAAGGGTCTGCAAACAGAACCAGCCCAAAACCGCTGCGACGGTCGACCGTGGCGGTCGACCGCCCTCAATCCCAGAACAGTCTCAAACGCACAGTGAACCCTATGCACGAACGCGGTTGACCGCCAGAATCCCGCGGTCGACCGCCAGCCTGCCAAACAACTATTCTGAACCATCAACTGCCAATCCTACAGAGGAGGCGGGTTGAGGGGGAAGAGGAGTAGGCGGCTGGTGGTGACGGATCTGATGGAGGCGACGGTAGTGATTGGAGCTTGGGGCTGGAGGAGTGAGGGGAGAGAACAAATGGGAGAGGGAGTGAGCAGGGGCCGAAGGAGTAAGGGGAGAGAGGATTCGTTTGGGGTTGATGAATGAGAGGGGTGAAGATCTTGATCGTCCATTTTAATGAATGGCTAAGATTTGTTTAATGAGTAGATATTAGAAACTTTTCATTAGAGAATCCTTCTTATTTGCATAACAAACGCCTCCCTCCCGAAGAAGAAGAGGAGGAAGAAGAAAACAAAGGGAAAAAGAAGAAAAAAATGTCGACGTCTTGCAAGGGGCTGGCTCTGGAGCTCGTCAAATGCCTCAGCGAAACCGACTGTGTTAAGGTTAGTTAATTACTTGGTTAATTCATCTACTGATGGATCGCCTTCCTTTTCATTGACATAGAAACTAAAATAGGGCATTTGAGAAGCATTTGTTTCAAAACACTGAAGCATAATCTCGTTTTTCACACTTAGAAAGCTTTTTATTTGATAGTTTTTTTTTTTTTTCAGTATTGTCATCTCAGTGTTTGTCGAAATATCTCACTGGGTTAACATGAGTTGTAAAATATTAATTTAGGAACTGTGCCTGAATCATTTGTATGGGAACATCATTGGAAACTCAGGGAGAGGTCTCAATGCCACGGTCACTAGAACTGAACCTTTAGAAGAAAGAAGACTGAATAGATGTTTCCTTCTAATGCAACTATTTGACGACAAGGTCCTCGATTTGGGTGACTTTGCCTTGGTCTCAAGGGAATGTTTTCTCAAATATAGAGCCAATATCAGCAATCTGATTGGCGATTGAGTCTTTGATGACACAAATCACGTTGTCATAACTGAGAGAGGTGGTCATGAATCCTTGGGATTTGTTCGTGAGCTCTGGCCCTTGGTTGGGAATTTAGCTTGTCTTTTGACATTTGTTTGGGAATTGCCCGTTTGTGAGAAGATCATTATCCTTCCTTCACTTAAGTAGTGTCCCCCTGATGTAGAAACTCCATAGAGTCCGTAGGAAGTGGCATAAAATTAGAAAGGGACATTGGTCCTCTCTTCTCTGAACCCCTCCCATCTTAAGGGATATGGACCAAGAAAGTATGATCTGTATCCCATGTGTATATGGGGTTTTTAATATGAAAATATGCTCGATTCTATTTCTCCAACTAAATGAAAGCCTACGTTGCTATCTGCAATGATAACATCTGGCAAAAACTTTTCACTGATAGAAATTTATAGGGATAAAGGATGCTTCCCATGTACCAAAAAAAAGAGTCTGTGGAAGCAACTAGGATTGCCTGGATAGGATTTCATGTAACATGCATATGCCTGGTTGGGATTTGACATTGCTCTTATAGTTAAAGTTCTTTACAGTTGACCCAAGAGGGTGTAGTCGAGCTGGTGAGCTGCCTATGAGTAGTACTCAAAGGCCTCAGGTTTGACTCTCCTGGTTTTTAGATGATGGATTTCTAATTGAATTAAATATTCAATCTTAATATGGTGCAGATATAGATAAAGTTATTGGTGAATCCTACTTTCTTTTTTATTTTTTTGAAAAAAAAGAAATAGTTGAAATTTTATATTTCGAAATCATCGCGAAACTATCGGTTTAAATTAAAGAGTAATTCTCAACAATCAATAGTAATTTTATATTTCGAAATCATCGCGAAACTATCGGTTTAAATTAAAGAGTAATTCTCAACAATCAATAGTTATTAATTATTATTTGTAATTTCTGACCAACCAAAAACTTGAAATAGTTATTAATTATTATTTGTAATTTCTGACCAACCAAAAACTTGAATCCTTTATATCAAAGAACAAAGAACTCAAATTCGGGTAAAGAAATAAAAGTTTTAGGTATGTCTGTTTTCAAAGCGCGAAGAGTAATTGATCAGATTCATGGTCGTTCTTATGAGGAAACACTTATGATACTGGAACTCATGCCTTATCGAGCATCTTATCCCATTTTATTATGATACTGGAACTCATGCCTTATCGAGCATCTTATCCCATTTTAAAATTGGTTTATTCTGCAGCAGGGCCGTCGCAAGGAAAACTATAAGCGAAATCCTTTTTACCTGGCATTAATTTGGAACCGCGCACATCTAAAGCACCTTTTACTAAAATCAATGTAGTTGTATGCAAACCTATAGGAATATAATCTCCTTGAACACCTAAGACCGTGCATTGGGGGATGTCCATTAGCCATGCTGAGGGGTTTGATATTCATGGCGTGAAGATCGTGGGGAAGTTCCCTTGTCAAACAAAAAAAAAAGTTCTTTAGGGCTTCATGGTAGCATTGACTTGCATATAATTGAGAGTTCAATTTTATTCTCATCAAATATGGTTTTTTAGTTATCTTGTTTATTAATAAGTAGTGAGTGTCCCTCTATTCCACGAAAAATGTTCATGAGATCAGGTGAGATATGTTTTTCATGTGAAAAACATTTGTTTTGACAGCAAACATCAACATCAATCATACTGCAGATAAGTAGCTGCAGAGAAAGTACAGTCAACTCTGCTTGCGTGAGGCAGCTATTAACTAATCTGTTTAATTGATTAGCTAGGCTATTGACATCCATCTTATTTGCGAATGGATGAGACAATTATGAATTATTTCAGCTTTATAGTGGAGAAATAGATACATTCTATTTTTTCCCCTCCAAAAGTTTGCCTTCCCATCTTTTTGGAATTATATCATTTGTATTTCTTTATTAGACAACTTGCTTTCTATTTTCTTGTTGTTTATCATCTGCTAAATGTGGAACTATATGATAATAATCAACTAGTATGTTTGTAGGTGGTAGTAACATAAATATGCAAAAGATACTCAGATTCATATGATCTTTTTTAGCTTAGTACAATCTTCATTCAGTCTCTCTTATACTGCTTCTTTTTTGCAGGTTCAAAAGCGACCATACAGGGAATGTGCAGGGGAGAAGGTGCCATGTATAACCAGTGAATGTGTAGGTCTAAGAGAAACATACTTCAACTGCAAAAGAGGCCAGGTATGTTTTCCCACAAATATACCCGTTATTTTGTTCTGGGGCTACTCACTACATTTTAAGTTTTTCTTCAAAAATCGTCCTGGCAGGGTAGGGAGGGGGTTGGGGATTGCATGGAACCTGTACTATATAGTTATGCATAGATGATGCATGAACAATTATCAAAATTACCTTGATGTGTGCTTCCAAATTTAGTATGACCCTAATCGATCTGATTGAGCCCCTTTTCATAACATAGAATGTACTCCTATCCCATATCACAAACCAAAGCTACCACGAATCTGGTAACACTGATGCAAGTGTGATATCCTCAAAGATGAGGCATGTCGCCTCAATATGGATCAAGCTATCCGTTATGAAACTTATCCATGCATAAATGTTACTTGATTTGGCAACAATTTAGTAGCTAGTAAACCTAGCAATGTTACCTCATACTGTTGACAAAAAAAAAATCTCCATCAATCTCCAAATAAGTGGCTAATCTCATCACACACAATTTCACACACACACATGAATATATTGCCAGAGTACACAAAGCACCGGGTCATTACAGCCCATGTGCAATACAAATCTTGGTAATAAAATGAGTAAATTGACATGATTTTGCTAAGTTTTCACTAATAAGATTTATGACTATTGTCCTTGAAGGAATGTAGTCATGGTGGGAAAATCTAGTATGGTTTGGTTTCAAAACTATTCTTTTTTGTAACCAATTTTACCATGTGACTAATTAGAGGAAACTACAAATTATAGTTAAGGAGGAGGACCCAAAAAATGAAAACTAGTGAAAAGGAGGGGGCATCAGCAGAGAAGTAGAGAAAAGTTTTGGCACATGAATTATTTTGACTATCTCCTCTTTTCTGCTCTTCTCTATATTTTCATTGTGTAGCCATGTGCATGAATATAGATATATAGGCTCACAAATTATCCGACGTAAGTGTTCTTGAGGTATGCATAGTCTCTGAAACTATCATCCTTTTTATTACTTTTACCTTGATCACATGTCAGGTGTTTCAAAACCTCATTAATGCTTGCCTAATGAGTCTGATGTTGAAACTTTTTGAGAGATTTCATTAACTTGCTGCATTGTTTTATCTTAACAGAGGTATCATTCGTCACTTTATCGAGGCATGAACACTCGAAAATATTGTCAATGCATACGTCTAAATAAACTTGACATCTATTCACACTTGCCTTCTTACCAGACTCAACTCGATGTTATCATACCTTTCTAAACTTGATATACTTCCCAAGCCTATCCTCAACCCAAAACCAGATACACTAGCTAATGTTAGTGTTAACTCTTTTCTGAAATCAATGTTAACTATGATTAAATAACTCTTGTCATAGATCCATGTATCATTTGAATATCATCATTGTACCAATAAATATATTTGAACTTCATTAAGATTCTTTGATAGGGGTGTATCTTCTTTTCGGAACTTAGCGATCCTCATGGGAGCTTGAGGATAGATGATTCAACCCGTGAGTCGACTCATACATGTACATGAGTCGACTCATCAGGTTGAGTCGATTCATGCCTGTCATGAGTCGACTCATGAAACCCAGTCGTTTTGTCAAAAGTTTCTGACCAGTCGACTCATGTCTGTCATGAGTCGACCCATGTGTCATGAGTCGACTCATCGATGGTTTCCTGGTTCGTTTGGGTTTCTGTTTGCACGAATTCCTGTGGGGTTTGAGCTTGATTATTTACCACTTTGTCATCCACGTTGTTACACCTATAAAAGAAGTTGTTTAGGGTTTCTAATCAATCAGATGTAATCAAGAGAGATTCTAATCAAAAAGATATTAGATTGTATTTTGAGAATTGAGAGAGATTGTTCTTCAATTCTAGTAAGATTGTGAGAGATTGTAAACTATTTAATTTTCATAATCTAGAGAAGGTATTTTCCTTCGTCATATACTGAATTATTCTTATATTTCTATCATCCTCTTTTCAATCCACCTTTGATAATTCCGCGATCAAAGGTGCTCGCACGACGACTCGTATCATTCTTCCTATCTATGTTCTTTGTTTACTATGCGTGTGTACCCTATGTTTTAAATATCAGCCGATAAATCAATATTATCGGCGATTTATCTGTTTTGGAGGCCTTCTGCTATGATAAATTTGATTCTAAATCGGTTATCATTTTTGGATGTTTATTACCGATAATGTGGCAAGGTTTTAAATATCGGCCGATAATCCGATATTATCCCCGAGTTATCGGTTTTGAGAGCTTTCCGATAGGATAAGTTAGAATTTAAATCGGTTATCTTTTTTTAGGGTTTATCGGCGATAATGCGGCGATAAAGGTGATTATCGGCCGATATTAGCAGCTCTAAAATCGGAATTATCGGGCCACACTATTAGGTTGTGATTTTGGGTAATGGACAGTTTTTGAGTGAACTTGAAACCCGACACGACCCGTTCTTTACAATAAAACTTAAACTCGATTAAGTAGCCCTAATCCTCTGTTCTCTCTCCCCTCATTTGTGCGGTTGTGCCCACTGCCCTAATCCTCTGACTCTGTTTCTCTTTGGACTCCGTCGACCTTGACGCTCGCCTCCGCCGACTTCGACGCTCGCCTCCGCTCTTCTTCGGACTCCGTTGACCTCAACGCTATCAACTTCGACGCTGCTCTCTCATCAACATTAACTTCATCGACTTGACGACTTCGACTGATGTTGTGCTCTCTCCATCGACGCCATCATCAACTAATCTGATTGACTCGATGACGTTGAACGACGCTGAGCTCTCCATCGATGCCGAGCTCTCTCCATCGACGCCATCATCAACTGTGACTTCGAAAGTTTGACTTGGACTCTCCATTGACGTCACGCCCTCAACACAACTTCTGAAGTTATAGAAACAAATAATATTCACCATTTAGTTGGTTTTTTCTCTAGTTATTTAGTGAAGGTTGAGAGAATGAAAGAATAGAGTATGGTTAGATTACAATTTGGGGTATTATATTATATATACACAACATACGGTATATCACTCCGATAAATACTACTTATCCCCGATATATCCCCGATTTCCGCTATCCGATAAGGATTTTGGCCGTCCGATAAATCCCCGATAACCGATATTCAAAACCTTGTAATGTGGTGATAAAGTGAGTTATCGACCGATATTGTCAGCCTATAAGACAGAATTATCGGCCTTTGGTTTGAGTTTTGATATCAGGCAACCAACATCTATTCAATGTATTTTAAACCCGACCCGACCTGAGTTCTTATCATTGGTTAGTGATCCTAAACATAATTATTTATATTTTAGTGTGTTTATATCTTATTAAGTATGATTAGATTATATTTTAGAATATTATATTATGTATACCACTATCCAGTAATGTCACTTCGATAAATACTACTTATCCCTGATATATCCCTGATATCCGCTATCCGATATGGATTATGATCGTCCGATAAATTCTTGATAACCGATATTTAAAACCTAATATTTCTGATTAGGTTTCACATCTATTATTTAGTAATTTTGTGAATTATTACTTATAAATGAATCATTACCTTTATGATGCATGAGAAATTAGTATCAATATAATGACCTCTACTCAGTCCTTTTGCAAATTTTCATACATAATTTGGTAGTAATTGGGAATTCGAGTTGACCCAACTAAGTTTGCTACCAATCATGCTAGGAACATGGTATCCCTAAAGGCAAGAGATATCATGATTATGTTAAACTCTATCAAAGTAAACAATATTGTAATTGTAAATAATGATAAGAGAGAGATAGATAATAATATCTTTGGTCTCGTTTCAGAGTATACTCTCTGCTGCCTTCATTTGGGCATAATCTTCTTTGGGTGGGAAGGGAGAGTACACATGTATTGTTGGGTATTTCATTGTAATTTTTTATTTTATCATGTGAAACAATCTCGTCCGAGAGTTTAAAAATAATTTAGAGTTCCTTCTAAAACGAGATAACTAGCAATATTTTGTCTTGTGTGGAGGATATATTTTTTCTTAGAAGAAGATTCATGATCTAGAAAATATATGTCGACAAAACATTTAAGCATGGGACCTTAATTTTCTTCTGATGATAAATTATGACTTTGTTTCCTTGTATATTTGTATCAAGGTTACTTTTTGATGCTAAATTGTTCCCTCCCTCTAAGCGGTGCACGAGGTTAAACTGCCCTTTATACTCTCGCTGGTGCAAGAGTCTAAAACTGCTTTCTATACTCCGATAAGTATACGAGTATAAACTGCTGCTCCTTTACTCTAATAAGTATACGAGTATAAACTGCTCATTTTCTCCAACCGGTGCACTAGGTGAAACTGCTCCTTTCCTCCAACCGGTGCACGATGTGAAACTGTTCATTTTTTCTAACCGATGCACGAGGTAAAACTGCTCCTTTCCTCCAACCGATGCACGATGTGAAATTGCTCATTTCCTCTAACTGGTGCACGAGGTGAAACTGCTCCCTTTCCTCCAATTGGTGCATGAGACTAAACTACTCCTACCCTCCGACTGGTATACGGGGTTAAACTGCTCCCTACGTTCTTAATCCAAACGCCTCGAAAGGCTAAGGATAGAGGAAAAATTTTAGCATTGAGCCTAAGAGAAACTCTTCGACAACTTACCATGCTAAGGGCAAGGCTAGTCCAACTCAAACGACAATTGATAAAGACAAACCAAGTACGTTGATAGCTGAGGGTTTGCTCAAAATCCTAGAAGACGATCATTAGCTACGAGTGAAGAGGTCAACTTCACTGAGCTCGTTGGAGGGCTCCTCACTCCATCTGAGCAGGGATCACTTTACAGGTCTTTATATCCAAAGTGTTCCAGACCCCATACGGTCTGATTCAGGTCTGAAAACTTTGGAGGGGGTTTTGTAGGTAATAAAAATTGATTTTAATCCTTATCAGAGAAGTTCAGAACAAAACTGCTAAAACATCGCCCGAAATAGTAAAAAGAGAAAAAACGTTGATATCTCTCAAACCGGAAGGAATTTGGCAAATGGACAGCAGCAAACCGAACCCTATGAGGTCGGTTTGGTTGGCTTCGTCTCGTCGAAATAATCGATTTTCATATATAATTCGTCCAATTCCGACTTACGATTTGAAAGTTATGACCTATTCTTCGAAGCATGTTCAGTAGCTCACCTAAAGGC